AATCAAGAGGATATCTCTAGGGCGTTCGATGAAATGGTCTGAATTCTTTTTTTATTTGTCAGGAGATATCTCCTAAACTCTATAAATTGATCCCTACCTCCTTCATCGAGTATGGGGGCCTAAAACTTGAATTTGAGGAAGCACGAGAATTGGAGAAGAAAGAGTTGAGTCCAACAGTCTACATCGAAGATCTGACGAACACTTCCCGCTCATGTTGTTACCGACCATCATCTACCAGTGCACGTCGATCGTCGTCGACCATTGTCGGATGTCTTGTGCTTGCTATAATAAATCTTCTTACAGAATCATGATATATGCTGCGGAATCATGCCAGATGCTATGGAGCAAACGAAGCACTTTGTTGAACTATGACCAACTTTACAAAGTAATGAATCACCCGATGGAGCAACACATCGCCATGAATATTGTGCAATAACACGCCCCGCATACAATGCAATGACGCACACCGCATAAGGTGCAACGAAACACCCTTATAAGGTGTAATAATGCAGCCCACATACGTTGCAATGCACCTCATATGTGTTGCAATGACACGCTCCACATAACTTCCAACAACGACTCTCCAAAATAGTGTTTACAATCATTGTATTCATAATACATTAACTTTTTGTGAACTCCTGAAGTTCTCTCTTTGTAGCCCACCACTATAGTCTACGTAATCAACTATGATTTATGTGATCTACAACAAATCCAACCCAACTCTGGCTTTTATAGCCTACAGATGTTATCACAAACTATGGAGCTCCCAATTCCAGTCTCTACAACCTACGAATATTATCACAACTCATGCAGCTCTCAACTTTGGCCTCTATGACTTACAAATGTTATCTCAACTAATGTAACTCCTAACCCTGGCCTCTATGGCCTACCAATATTTTCATAGTTCATGCAACTCCTAACTCTAATTTTTTCGGCCTATAAATATTATCACAACCCATACAACTCCCAATCCAACCTCTACGGCGTACAAATGTTTTTACAACTTATGCATCTCCCAACTACAACCTCTATAGCCTACGAACATCATCACAAGTCATGTAGCTCCCAATTCGATCTTTGTGGCCTAGGAACAATATTATAGCTTTCTGCTACAATATATGTAACCAACTATGACCTGTGCAACTCACAACTCACTTTGCTCCTTACTATGTCCTTTGTTGCCAATCAACACTCTTAAAGTACCATCTATGACTCACATGACAAATAACTACCATGACTTGTAACTATGGCCTCCAGGATAAGATGGTGCTACAACCATCGTCAACAACATCTACAGTGAACTACCTCCCGCATACAATTAACTATGGCCTTTGTGCCTCATTAAGATTATTATTACTGAAATATCGTTATAAATCAACTTTATAATTTCATCTTTCATAACTCAAGAGAAGACTGTGTATGTGTGCTCACCATTAAATAAAGGATTAATTTAACTGAGTTATACCTCATGATTTTTTTACCATTTATAGGTTTTTAATGTAAAAAGTTCTGATGTCTCTTCCTATCATTTTGATTATCTGAGTGTGTGCTGGACTTCTATAAAATGCTGAAACGCTAAACCATTCAACCGACGTGAATATTCCGACAATAATTATTATAAATCTTAAAGTTATTTTATTCACTTTAATATATAAAATATATTTAAGAAAAAATTTCAACTTATTTATACATAACAATTTAAAAAAAATATCATAATTAAAATTCAATGTGAATTATTTGAATTTACTTTTAGTTATTTTATCCAAATTTTCTAGAAAAAAAATTAAATAAAATAATCTTTTTTTGACAAAAAAAATATTGATTGATATATAATGATTAGAAAATTTGAAAATATTTATCACTTAAATTTCTCATTTGTATATAAAAATTAAAAATAAAAGAAAAATTTTCATAATAATTGTATGTATTTCTAGTAATAGCGTTAAATAGAAATATAATAAATTAATGAAAAACATAATTAATATCATATTATTGGCTTACGTGTCCAATTACGCAAAAGTCCAATTTACCCTTCTTATCGGAATATCCTTTAATTTATAAAAATGGTCGAATCGTTCAATAATTTGGCAGATTTTAACGAGCACACAATGGAAAAATATTTGTGAAAGTAACACAATGGAAAATTTTTTTGCAATTAGGAACGTTACACAATAATAATAATAATAAGTTCACGCAACTAATCTGACAGACTCCATTTCTCCCAAAAGAAATAAATAAAACCATTTTGTGGCACATATGCTCTCTGTCCCACTCTAATTTGTTGTCAAGCAAATATATATTTTTTTATGATCACCTTTTTTAAATTTGAGTGTATTCCAAAATGTTGAGCCCACCTGCCTAAGGGGTCAAGCTGAGCCCACTTGTCGAAGTGGTCGAGCTGAGCTTATTTGTCGAAGTGGTCGAGCCAACCCGAGACGGACCACCGAGGGAGAACATTTTCACAAACAAAGATGTGTCAATTCGTACTTATGGTGATGCTTGCCACCCACATCATTATATTTTCACCAACACACACAATGGATATGTGTTGTATGGCACAAAAAAATAATTTTATATTTATTCTCTTATATATAAAAGGAGGTCATAGGGGCTCTTAAGGGGAACTTCTTATCAGGACCTTAAAAAAGGGTTTACACTCTCTCCCTCTTGGGCTCTCTCTCTCTCTCTCTCTCTCTCTCCCTCTTTCTCACTATGTAGAAGCAGAGGCCATTCCATCACCTTTTCTTATACCTTTTTTTTCTAAAGGTTGAGTCTTTATCGGGTTGTATGAACTCACGAACAAGACGGGACCTAACATCCTAAACGGATTCAAGATCTAAAAAGATGCAGTGAGCATAAAGATCATACTCAAACTTTATAATAGGATCCTTTCGACGTAAGCAAGAACAAAGAAAAACATTGATTGCACCATAGAGTTTTTGACACAACAGATCAACAAGTGGGGGAATAAGTCCTGAAAATAATATAAGATTCAAGGCAAGAAGCCTCCAAATCCCATTTTAACGATCAATCTAGGACACATACAAAATCATTTATGTGGTGTGTAGACGAGGGACGTAAAGACAAAACCACTGAGGTAAGAGCCACCTAGGTAGGTTCTTCCAAGGGTAGGACCTAGACAAGCTCTAGATTCAAGGCTATAAGTATAAAGGGATGAATCCTACATCTTGGAGCAAGAACTATTTGAAGCAACATGTGAAGGAGTCAGAAGGAGAAGTAGAAGAAGACAATGAGTGTTAGAGGGCCCATTCTCAAGAGAGATTGCGGAAGACGAGACACCAAGGAAGTTGAAGATTCCTTCTTTGGTGTCTTATAAAAGAAAGTCAGACTTTACTAATAATGTATCTTTTTTCGAGTCAGCTATATATCTATTAAGGATAAATGACACCCTTAGATGTCATTTGTTCTTTATGACGTTGAAGAAATCGGTCTAGGCTGGTTCAGTAACTTACCTCTGGAAGTCATCACCTCTCAAGGGAGTCAAGTGCATGTTCACTGCCCAGTTTGCTAGCATGCAAACACCGTTGAAGAACCTCAAGCTCATTAGGACTCACATAAAGGCTTAGAAGCATCATCACACAATTCCAGTAGGAGATGCTGGAACGTTTGAGAATTGAAATCTATTATTACTTAAGTAGCCTTCAATCAAGGCCCGAGTGAAGGTCCGTACATTCTTGGCTAATAAAATTTGAGAACCTTAGCCAAGCTTATGAAGTTCGCAAATCACCACGTTCTTGCTGAGGAATACAATTCACAGCCTAGCTCCTCTAGATTGCAGGAGCGTAAAGAAAAGTTTCAAAGCCTATCTTGTAAAGAGAACGAGAGCCCAAGGAATCGTTTTGACAAGAAGAACTTCAAAAACCTTTATGACAAATGCTTTGACAATCTTAGAACTAATATTTAAGGGTCTGTTTAACGCAGCTGCAGCTTTTCGGCTGCAGTTGCACTGCTCCAGAAAGTTGCTGCAGTGAAGCAGCTGCGGGGAAGCTGGCTATCTGTTTGATGCAGCTGTGTGAAAACAGTTGTGGGGCAGCTGTTTCTGAAGAAATGATCAAGCTGTCTCTATTTGGTTAAACTGTTTATATTATTGAATTGTACTCATATAATATTAATAGAAAAATTTGTATAAAAGTATAGACGAACTTATGAGGACTATATTTTTCAAATGTAGTGAAAACATTACTCTAGATTGATTTTATTTAAACACACGCACTTAAAAAATAAAAAAGAAGAGAAAATTTACAACCACAAATTATATGTATTTATATATCTAACTTTAAAACTTGTATATTTGCATTTATAATATTTTTGGTGTGAAGAACGTACACATGAAAGTGCATCTAATTCATAAAAGATAAATGATACTGGCATTTTTAATGTGATGTAATTGTTTGGAGCCTATATTCGCAACTATGAAAAGATATAGGTGTGAGATATACAAATACATGAGAAATGAGTGCCATGTATGTAAAATGCCCCTAGAATTAAATCTCTCTAAAGCTTTTATACTGCAATCTTTGAATTAAGATTGCATCTTCTTCAATCATTTGATTTTATATGCAACAATACTATCATAAAAAAATATTTCAACACACACCACTCGATGTCTATGTTTTCACATATCTAACGCCTCAAGTTTTGCGTAATATATCACCTTATTTATGTATGAGAAAGTGTATCTCTTTTTAAAAGTTAAAATAATGATCATATTTATATAATATAGAAGATTCAAGTGATATAAATGAAAAAAAAATAGGTGTTAGATATCTAAATAAAAAGGAATTAGACGGTATGTAAGTAAATGCCCCCGTCATAACATTGACATCAACAAAGAGATTTTAAACTTAGATAATTATAAGTATCTACCAATATATTACAACCAAAACAGAAAGTTCACATATTGAGCATGCTAACAATGCATTTCATCACATTCCCACATCGTTCACTTATTATGATATTTTCCTTCAATCACACGTTGCTAAAGATAACAACTTTTAAGCTCATCATTTTAATTTATGGAAGATTCTACACAGCAACAATGGGGTAAGATGCACAAGTTGCGACGCCTGTATCAGAAGCAAATCATATTGAAATAATTCATAAATATCGAAAAAAAAAAAGATCAGGAGCTCTACGAAATTAGTAAATTACTCACCACACAAGTTCTTGCCAAGCTCCATCTTGAAGTAGCCATGATCGCCCCAGTCTCCACCCCATGAGTTCTTGATAAGCCAGTAGGGAATACCATCTTCAACTCCATAGCCGACAGAAAGAACTGCATGGTTCACATCCTGGAAGGAGTTTCATCAATATTATACTACGATTTTGAATTTTCACACTAATTTATTGAATTGGATGGTTGGTTGGCTTTCTGACATCATGAATTTTCAGATTAAAATTACAGATTACTTGCATGTCAGCTTTGTTCAACATAGTGTTATTTTCATGAACAAATTGAGCAATACAAAAGTTGATTGATCCTATTGTAAATGTTCTAAAAGTTAACAATGACCATCTTTTAACATATGACCGCACTTCTCAGAGTTCAAATGAAACCATGAGCAAAAACTATGGAAATATAACATGGAAAACTACATAACATCAGCGAAATTTTATTAATTTGGCCTTCAATTTACTGATTTTATATTATACTACAACATATTATATACTTTATTACATCATATTATACTATACAATCTTAGACTAAATTAAACTATTGTACAATACTATGATACACCAGGGATCACCAATAAGAAATCCAATGATTTCAAAATTTTTCTCCAATCCAAATACTATAAGGATGGCCCTTACACATATTTCAATAAAATTGAAAAGAAAAAACAATGCCACAATATGCTTGTAGCACAACCTCAACTACAATAACATCAAACCAAACAATTACAAAGGAATTAATATGCAGTCCGACCAAAACAATAGTAATATTTAACATATAAACAATTACAGTGAAATTAAAATGCACTCCGACCAAAAGAATTGCAGCCTAGATGTGCAAGCACAGCTTCTTTCACCAAGAACATAAAATCATTAACTGGTGTAATTAAAAAATTAATCATATCCTTCACAAGATGGACAAAATATAGGTCATGATATCGTTTTTTTTAGTAAGATTTAACAAACCCGTATATAAAATTTAAGATATTTATAGATTACTACGCATGCATCAAGAGATTGGAAATATGTGCAAAAATTAAGGGAAATGTTCAGCATTTAGAAATATCTTGTCTTATGGTTCAAGTTCAACAGAAATCACTTTATCATGTTGAGCAGAGGATAGAAAAGTAAATTATCTTAAAACATACCATTGGAGACTTCCCACAAGTGTCACTCGTGTAAACTCCTTTCCTGTAGAACCGGAAACCAGTCACAACCTCGAATGCAACACTAACAGGTCGAACCAGTCCAACTGCATGTTTAAGCTCCTCCTCAGACCCCTATACATAAACATAGATCAATCCAAAATACAACTTAAATTCGGCAGAGATCTATGATCATAACATCTTGATTCTGAACAAATATAGAATGCTAATTCACATTTGCTATCTATAAAGCAAATAAAATTTTACAATCTACAAAGCAAATAAAATTTTACAAAAATCAAGTGTTCATTTTCAACAAGAAGATGCTTCACATGTAGTCCGTCGTGTCCAGCAAGTAAACAACTTTGTTACTTTAATTGAAGAATAAGGAGTGGATATGTTGAGGGTATATTACAGCACAACCAATAATTTAAATGTAAAGTTATTTATAATAAACTATTGCATGCACTTGCAAATATCTATTGTAACATTCTTTGAAGTATCGGAAGGATAAATGGCACTGAAAACTGCTTTTGATATTGTTTCTATATATGACCGGATAGTACAAACTATCACCTATACATCTATAATAGCTGTTTTTTCTATGTATGTTTAACAAAAATGTTTATTCACAGTTTAGCGACCTACAGACAAAAGAAAAAACCTTGTGTTCAAATAAAGAAATATAATATTAGAAGAAGTGAAGTGATTTATTCCTCCCCAACTAATTAATAATCCTCAAGACTTTTTTTTTTATACCATTCTCATATCCATGAAAGAATTATAGGAATATTTACATACATACCACATAATTCCAATGTATTTACACATCTAACACTTATGTCACCTTAGCTATGCAAGAAAAGATGTATTTTTCTTTTTAAAAGTTAGAAAAATGGTATTATTGATCTGATACCAATGAATTGGGTGTTATAAATATAAAAAAGTAGAGTATATGTGTTAAATATGTAAATAAATAGGAATTGAGTGGTATGAATGTAAATCTTCCAAAAAAAGGACCTAAAGTAAAAGACGGAGATCCCTTACCAGTGTGATGTTAATTGAATCAATAATTTTGACACCAATATTCTCTGGCTTTAAGTTGCATATATCATTGACACCTTGGTAAGGATACGTCTCCTCAGTGTCGAGGCCTCCATTGTACTTGATGTACTCAAAGGCCTGAGAAGGCAAGCCTCCATTGCATCCAAAATTATTGTATGCAGAAGCACAATCTACAAGTTGCTGTTCTGATAGAGATATTTCCTTTCCAGTCAATTGTGTATAAGCAGCCTCTAATGCCCCAGTGGTACTGTAAATTTCAAATTGAAATTTATCAGAATAAAAAATGGCATTTGGGTGTTGTTGTAAGATCTTAGCAAAGAGAAGAAATCTATGGATAAATTACAGCAATAGTGATTAGAAATAGAGAAAAGTTGGTAGCATTTAAAATGCTAATTCACTAAATAAACCGAATAGGTCGACATTTTGTAATGAAATTCTGATGCACAAAAGATTCCTCAAATTGTTGAGATAGAGAGCTATATCTATTTTACTCACCTTTTTGTGTTAGAAAACCTTAAAAAAAGCCTGAAGCAAAGGTTTTTATTGTAGGCCAGAAATAATAGCTCTCTACCTCAGGTAACAAAATTAAAAAAAAGGCCTCAAAATCTTCTGTGATGGAGATAGTAAATTTCTACTCATGATGATCATCATCATTACACCAATCATTTGAGGTTTATATTTTGAATATTCACTCACTTGGATTTATTAAGTAATACATGAGAGTTTTTTTTTTGGGCTCGAGTCTCTACCTAAACTTCTAATTTTCTAGGTATTTCACTTCAAATATCTCTACTAATCTAGTTGGAGTATCGGCTACCATGGTTGTACATGCTCAATGCCACACTTTATTTGTTTGTCAATGATATTTTTGAGTCAAACAATAAATTCATGATACATAGCCAACCTAATTACACTAAATATCCATAATATTCTCTATTGCATAGATATCAAGAGACACTTCTTTAATTTAACCACTAAAGTCTAAATGTTGTCTCCTTAATGAGACATGTCAATCACATGAATAATATATATAACTACATAAATCTATAGAGCTGAATGAAAATTGATCATTAAGCAATATTATTAATGATCATCAATCTTACAACCACAAAAGTAAATACCAAATCTTTATTCTTTTCGAAAGATTTATTTCACAAATTAGATGATATCATCTTTTGATGCTACATACAACGTAAACACATCTTTTGAAAGCAGGTCAAAAACCAATTAAAAAAAAAGATAAATTACAATTAAATGCCTAGTATACACCGCACTTAATGTAGGTTATATTCTTAAAAACACTTCCCTCACCTCCTACACAGATTTTCAAATAGGGGTATTTATATACATACCACCCAATTCTAATGTATTTATATACTAACACCTAAACTTTGCCTTTTAAACTTATATCACCCAAATATTTCATGCCACATCAAAAACACCACTAGTTTAACTTTTAAAAAATGAAATAGAAGGTGGCATATATAAAAAATTGAAGTTTTGGTGTTAGATATGTAGATACGCTCGAATTGAGTGGTATGAATGTTAATTTTCCTTTAGATATCATTTGAGTCTATCAAATTGGTTTATGGTATTCAAAATGATGCCCCAGAAAAAATCATTAAATTTTCACCACAGGGTGTCGTCAAACTTATGCACACCTTTCATAAGAGCCTAACCTCATTTTTCCTATTTGGTGATGGAGACATCACCTTCCTCATTGATTACACTTACTAGCTAACTCTCTAGAAATGCCCACCATTTCTTATTTGGCAAGCATTCGTAAGATGTTTTGACATGAGTTGAAATTATATTCTCTGCAAAGAGCTTCATTTTTATTCTTCAACAGTTGTTGTGTCGATGTTGCTTTTTCATTGACAATGTGGATAGCATGCGATGAAGGCTTTGAGGATACCGTAGCAAAGGTGGTTGAAATTGCAAAAACTACTTAGGAGAATGTCACATAAACATGCAAAGATGAGATAAATGATGCAATTCAAAAATTTTTGAAGATGTGCACAGAATTTCTCAAGTTATAGATAGATTGTACCCAATAGAAAATGAGAATCATGAAACTCAAAATCAAAGAGACAAGCGTAGGCAAAGAAGCCATGGAAAAGTTCACCAACCATATGTGAATGGGATTCCAAGTCATGTCATAAATTTAGTGGTAGTTAAAGTACTCTAATAGAAGTTAACCAAGTAATTCTGATAGGAACTTACATATAAAATGATAGAAAATTAAGAGATATATGTAGAGCCCTTTTAAAATTGTGGACATATTAGGTGTGGTCAATTCTCTGGGAGTAATTTAACCTGATATTCACACAAAATTAATTTCATACTCAATTTTATAACTTGATGATATCTTTATCATGCACCATCCTCAAATTTGAAAATATTAATTCTCTTAGCATTCATTCATAAGCCTTTGCACAATCAACAAAATCATATTAAGATCTTGTCATCTCTCTATATATATTGTCTTTAGATTCCTTATGACAAATTCACTTCTATAGCAAATTTTTACTAGAACACCGTCATAATTTTATTGCATAATCTTTTAGAGGATCGTATGCCAAATCTCCAAATCCCTTGCCATGGAACAACATACTAAAGAAAAAATAAAAATATTGAGCCTATGACTCATCCTGATTGACATGTCAAGATGTTATTCTTGTAAGAAAATTTATCACAAAATAAACTAGCAATTGAATATGATAGCTTGTCAATGAAAAACAACTCAAGGATTCAAATTTTGGAAAAACTCCACATGAAGTTATCATTAGAAATGAGTTCAAAAATATCATCAAAATAAGTGAACTTTACTAATACTATTCACAAATAATTAGCAATCATCTCATCAAAGTTGATAAAAAAAATTGATCAATTATTTATCAAATCTAATTCTTCTAAAAAGAAAGAGGTTGTTGAAGAGTTTAAGATTATTAATCTCATCCTGCTTTTCAACCTTCTCCATGTAAAGTAGTGTTTAAACCTGACATTTCTCCCAAGAAATTGAACAAGTGTTCAAAAAACATGAGATTATAAAACGCCATGCTCTTAATCAAGAGACTATGCCTTAAATATCTTCCGCAATCTCTTTCAACTTAGGTGGAATTTATATCTCAAGACCTTGCTCACAACTTCCAAAGTTTCTAACTGAAATAATGATGATCATCTAATTATGATTCAACTTACAACATACATAATTTAATGGAACTTTAATGATAGAAATGAAGTAAAATTTTGATGAATCACCTTTCAAAATTTATGGAATCAGTTGATATTATGATTCATAGAAAAATAAATATCTTATGTATTCAAGAAATTAAATGGGTTGGAGAAAAGACTGAGACTAATAACTTAGGTTTTAAAATTTGGTATTCAGATAAGAGTCGCACTAGAAATGATGTAGGCGTAATTATAGAAAAGAGCTTGAAAGATCATATTATAAAAATTGATAAAATTAGAGATAGAATTATAGCCCTTAAAATTATTGTTGATACTAAGAATTTTAATATTATAAGTGTTTATGTTCCTCAAGTAGGCTTTGATATAGGTTCTAAAGATAAATTTTGAAATGACTTTGATTTGATATAGGTTCTAAAGATAAATTTTGAAATGACTTTGAAGGCTTAATACAAAGGATACCTCCTGAAGAAAGAATTTTTATAGGAGAAGATTTAAATGAAAAAACCAGTAGAGTGGTAGAAGATTTTAGAAACATTCATAGTGGCTACGATTTTGGAGTGATTAATGAAAAACGTAGAGATTACATTTGGCTTTAGGGTATGATTTTGTTATTGCTAATATTTTATTCAATAAAAAAGAGATAAACATATTATTACTTATAAGAATGGATCTAATAAAACACAAATTGATTATTTTCTTATGAGAAGAAGAGATCGTTGAGAATGTAAAAATTGTAAGATCATTTCAAATGAGGATTTACGTACTCAACATCAAATATTAGTTTTAGATTTTATGACGAAGAGTTGTAAAATAAAGAAAACTAGGAATCATCATCGTAGAATTAGATGGGGTACCTAAAAGACAAATAAAATTATTTCTAAGAGTAAAATTCGATATTTCAATATTTGGGATGTTCATAAAGAAGCAGCTTCCACGAGGGATAAAGTAACAAACACTATTAAACAAATGACAAAAGAAGTATTTGGAGAATCAAAAGAAAAATTTCTATAAATAAAAATAATAGGTGGTGGAATGATAATCTGCAAGAAAAGATAAAATATAAGAAAATATGTTATAAAAATTAGTTTAAATGTAAAAACTTAGAGAACTCGGAAAAATATCAAACGACCCGTAGGAAGTCTAAGAGAACAATATTTGACGCTAAAAATTCTGTTTTTAGTGATCTTTATAATACATTAGATTCAAAAGAGAGATATATGTATAAACTAGCCAAGTAAAAAGAAAATAAAAGTAAAGATTCAACTCAAGCAAAGTATATTAAAGATAAAAATAAAAATATATTTTTATTATAAAAAGATATTCAACATAGGTGGATGAGTTATTTTGATAAACTTTTTAATAAGGTTACTAAAATTATGATCAATCTTAGTGATATTAAAATCATTAATAATAATAAAATGTTCCATTTTTATCATTGCATTATTAAAAAAAAAGTTGAGGAGATTTTAAAGAAAACTAATGATAGAAAGTTTGTGGGGCCTGATGATATTCCAATTTAAGTGTAGAAATATATTGGAGAGTTGAGAGTTTCTTGGCTTACTAAACTCTTTAATATTATTTTAAAAACTAAAAGATGTCTGAGGAGTGGAGGAAAAATATTTTGGTCCCCATTTTTAAGAATAAAGCTGATGCACAAGAGTATGCAAATTATATAGAAATTAAGTTGATGTGTCATACTATAACATTATGAGAGAGGGTAATTGAACATAGGTTAAGTTGTATTACAAAGATTTCTCATAATCAATTTGGATTTATGTCGGGCAAGTCTACTATGGAAGCCATACATTTATTGCGAGGATTGATGGAGAAGTTCAGATATAATAAAGAGGATCTACATATGATTTTTATTCATTTAGAAAAAACTTACGATAATGTTTCAAGAGATATCCTTTGGAGAGTTCTTGAGAAGAAAGATGTGGATATGATTTACATTCAAGTCATTAAAGATATGCATACTGGAGTTTTTAGTTGTGTTCAAACAAAAAGAGGATTGACCAAATATTTTCCTATTTCTGTTGTATTACAACAAAGATCAGTTTTAAGTCATATCTTTTTGCTTTAGTTATAAATGTTCTTACTGGACATTTACAAGAGGATTTACCTTGGCGTATGATTTTTGCTAATGATATTCATAGATAAGACAAGAAAGAAAACTCAGAAAAAACTTGAATTATGGAGGTCTATATTGGAGTCTAAAGGTCTTCGTTTGAGTATAACGAAAACAGAACTAGTGACAGAATTGTAACTATGGGTGATCAAATTATGAGGTGTGAACGCTTTGCATATCTCGGGTCTATTGTTCAAAGTGATGGCGATATAGATGGGAATTTTATTAGTAGAAATCAAGTTGGTTGGTTGAAGTGGAAGAATGTTTCGAGCCTATTGTGTGATAGAAAAGTACCAACTACACTGAAAGGAAAATTTTATAAGATGGTGGTGAGACTCTATGGTGCTAAATGTTGGCTTTTAAAAGAAAAGCATAAAATTAAGTTAAGTGTTGCTGAGATAAGAATCATTAGGTGGATGAGTGTTTTTTCACTTAGAGATAAAATGTGAAATGAATATATCTGTGATAGGGTTAGTGTAACTCCATTGAGAGTCGTCTTAGATGGTTTGCTCACATTAAATGTCGACCATCTAATGATCTGATTAGTAAAGTAGATGTTTTAGATTCGACTTTATTCAAAAAGGCAGAGGTTGACCAAGAAATACTTTGGCATATTGTATAAAAAATGATATTACTTTTTTAGAATTAAATGAAAATATGACACTCAATAGAACGCAATGGAGAAAAAAAAATTCATATAGCCGGGCCTTCTGAAAAGCAAGAATTTCACGTAGGAGATGAGGGAGCAAGGGACGATTTCGAGCGAGGAAGGAGGAATTACATGCAGAACGAGGATGAGGGAGCGGGGGATGAGAGCTTCAAGCGGGGAATAAGAGCTTCGAGCGGGGAAGAAGATTTTGAGCGGGAATTTTAGGGGACTGGGCTGAGGGCTTCGCGAGCTGTGTGAGTGATGGAGTTAGGGTGAAATCGGGATCGCAGACTGACGGATCGCAGCCGAACGACGAAGAAGAAGGGCGGAATCACGAATAGGAGGGCACCTGCGTAAAATGCAGAAGGTGCGGCGGGTGTGTAAAATGCCGAAGGCGCGGCGGGAGCGAAGCGGGGCCGCGGGTTCGATCACGCAGCCCACGTTTAAGGAAATTTGCGGGCCACACCGCCCCAAATACTGTAAACACGCGACGCTCGTGGGATAAAGGGTTGTTGTTGTTGTTGAAATGTTTAGGTTTTATCCAAAACTTCATAAAACCTCTGAAGTATCGATTTTGACCCTCAAAAATCAGCCTAAATTGAAAAAGTTAATAACTTTTAAAAGTGCATCATATGTAAAATCACCAAAATTTAAAACAAACAAAAAAACTTATACCAAGCACCTATGGTGAATATGAACCCAAAATGAAAGAAGTCCATAGAAAAACTTCAAATTTGAATTATCTATCCTTATTTTGTTTTTTTTCATTATTATTATTATTATTATTATTATTATTATTATTATTATTATTATTATTATTATTATAA